AAAATTAAAAAAAAAAAAAAGATAAGTCAAGGAATACTTGGGCCCACCAGAAACCAGGAAATGCTCAATTCTATCCTAGTATTCAGAGGCAGCATGGCTCCACTGACACCTTGACTTCGTACATCTAGCCTCTTTCCGTTATCTTAAACATCCAATCCAGGAGACTGGTTACAGCAGCCCCAGGTGACCACTGCAAGGAGGCTGCAAGGAGGCTCAGCACGGATGCTGCAATCAAGAACCGTGGAGCAGCCCTGTGGCTGTGGGTTGCCACATTCTGATTTGATGTGCCCTAGGCTTCTTTCCATAACAGAGAGGAACAAGCTCTGTCAATGATATTTCTATGGTTTTTGTTTCCATGGTTCAAGGGATTGAATCCAAGGCCTTGTGCATGCCAGGAAAACCATCACTGATGTATTTGGTTTGGGTGTGTTTGAGACAGGGTCTCACTAGGTAGTCTAAGCTCCCTTGGAACTCAAAGTAATACTCCTGGCTCAGCCTCCTGGTACTGGGATCACAGGCCTGTACCACCACACTTGGTTGACAATGAGTGTTGACTGGGGTTAGGGACCTACCTGCACTTCCTACACCCTAGAGAATTCCTGACCTTGTTCTCCAAGTAAGTTTCAATCACCAAGAACACAGCTGGCTGCCTGGAGATGCCCAGGTGATACTATCCCCAGGGGTATCTGTAGGAAGGAGCCCTGCAGGTGGGCCTCTGAAAGTGAGAAGGAGAGCTCAGGCTGCAGGGGGGGGCATCTTTATTGAACTACCATTTGGGGTGGGGAGGACCCGTGGCCCCTGGGCTGTTTACACTTTGAGATACCCAGGGCCTGGAAGCAGAGTTGAGGACTGCAGACTGGAAGAGGGCTATGAGAAAGTGATGTCCTCCTCGTACAGAGACAGGAGCAGCAGGATGGCCCAGCCGCCTAGCAGGCCCAAGTTGTGCAGCAGAAAGAGGAGCCAGGGCCGCGGGTCCCGCACATTCAGCATGGCCGGCAGCTAGGGAGGAGGTGGGCAGGGGGTCAGCGACCAGCTCTGCGCTCCTGCTTGGTCACCCATCCCAGGGCAGGCCCTGCCTGTACTCGCACTCACCATGTCACAGAGCGCTACATAGAGGAAGAGGCCAGTGGCCACCGCCAGGATCCAGGCCTCGCTCTCCTCGCTGATTCGGACCGCGAGCGCCACGTAGAGGCCGATGAAGGCGGTGAGCGCCGAAGCCAGGTTCAGCAGCAGCGCGCGCCGCACTGACAGACCCGCGTGCAGCAGAGCAGCGAAGTCCCCTGAGACGAGGTCGAGTAAGACCCCGCCTATCAACGGCCGGCCTCCAGCAGCAGCGGGAGTCCCAAGCCCTGGTTAATCATGCCCCACAGGCGCCCCAACAACTCCTAGGCCCTTCCCGACCCCGGTCCACGCGGCAGGCCCCACCCTCAAACTCACCCAACTCATGTGGCAGCTCATGGCAGAACACAGCCAGAGAGGTGGCCAACCCCGTCTTCCAGGAGGAGGCGAAGGCCGCTCCCACAGCCAGCCCATCTGCGAAGTTGTGCACTGCATCTCCCAGCGTGATTAGGTACGGTAGCAGCCTCAGCTCTGCAGGAATGGTGGGAGTGGGTATGCCCAGAGCTTGGTCTTGCCCACCCTGCCCTTTACCCCACAAATCCCCTGGGGAGGCCCTTTGGGGCTCACCTGAGCTCAGCCTCAGGGACTCCAAGTCCAGTAGCTCCGGACTCTCTTCTGCTACCTGGAAGGTGGGAGAGCAAGCGCCAACTAGGTGGAGGTGGAGGGGTGGGGTAGGGGGCAGGGTCTTGGCAAGGTGTGGGGGCAGCTCACTCACCAGATCCGCATGGGAGCCCTCATGGGACTGCTTGGGCTGCCGGAACTCTCTGGGTGCCAGCTGCAGGGATATGCCATGGCTGTGGCCCCCGTGGCTGTGGCTGCTGTGACTGCAGGGCCCGGTCTTCTCTGGGTCCTGTGAGTGATGGTGGTCAGGATCTGCCAAGCCCCCACCCTGTCAACCTGCCAGGTACTCGTGAGCCTGACCTGATCCCTGGGCAGCAAGAGGTTGAAGAGGCTTTCAAAGAGGAAGAAGAAGTAGAGGCCTCCCAGCACAGCCAGTAAGCGCCAGGTGGCCTGGGCGCCCACACCGTCTTGGTGCACGTCATCCGCTGCACCGTGGCTGTGCGTGTGCAGTCCGAGCACCTGGAGAGCAGAGGTGGTTGGGTTTGGGACTTGGACTAAGGGAAGAGCGAGGCAAGGGAGGACCTGAAGGATGAAGGCAGACCTTGGGTGTCAGGTGTAGCAGGGCGTCCCCGGTGAGTGCACCCACTGCCAAGCTCAAGAAGGTCTGCATGACATAGTGCGTGACTGTGCTGCAGCTGGTACAGGTCAGCAGCAGGAGGCCAAAGACGGCGCAGAGGCAGATGAGCAGTGTGGCCAAAGAGCCATACAGGTACCCTAGGATGGAACGCCACATTGAGCCCCCTTCTTTCCAGGGAGACACCCAAGTTGGACCCAAGAGTGAGCAGGAGCTGGCCAGGGCTCTAGGCAACAAGGGTCAGGCTCTGCTTGGGCTGGCCTGCTGCTTTCCTCCTACTCTTGTCTTTCCCCTCCCTTGTCTTCTTCCCCAACTCCCTTTTGCAGTACTGGGAATTGGACTGAGGACCTCTGCTGTGCTAGGGAAATTTTTTACCCCTGAGCTACATTCTCAGCAATTCCCTGTCCTTATTTTTAAATTGTATTTATTTATTTATTTAGAGACAGGGTCTCACTATGCAGTTTGGGCCCTGTGCTCACTTTTGTAGCCAGCAGGCTTGTCTCAAACTCATAGTGATCCTCCTGTCTTAACCTCTTGAGTGCTGGGATTATAAGTGTGCGCCACCACACCCGGTTTTGCTGGCTTGGCACAACCAGGGTTCCAGGGTTAGCACAGCAAGTGGCATGCAGTGGATCAAACTTGAGACCTTGCACTTGCCAGGTAGGTGCAAGGGGATGCCACTGAGCTGTCTCCCCAACCCCTAAAAATTAATTATTATTATTATTGTTATTATTATTTTGTCTCAGTCTTAATTTAATTTTTTTATTTTATTTTTATTTTTTTTGCGGAACTGGAGATTGAACTCAGGCCCTTGTGCTTTACTGAGCTATCTCCCCAGCCCCTCAGTCTTTTAATTTTTTTTTTTTTTTGTTTGTTTGTTTTTGTTTTGTAAAACCGGGGATTGATCTCAGACCCTTGCGCTTGCCGGGAAGTGCTTATTCCACTGAGGCATCTCCCCGGCCCCTAGTCTTTTAAAATCTTGAGACAAGGACTCACCAAGTTTCCCAAGGACTCACCAAGTTTCCCAGGCTGGGTTAAAACTTGCAGTCCTCTTCATGAGTAGGTACCTCTGTACCCCACTGCCTCCCCTTTTTTCTACCTCCCACCTTTGGTAGCTGATCTACCTCCCCTGTCTGGGTCCCATTCCCACCAGTCCCATACCCTGGGACACGAGCAGGTAGACGTGGTAGAAAGTGGGCACTCACTCTCTGCCTGGCTGAGCTGGTCTGGGGCCGGGGAGCTGTGCTGGTGGTTGCAGGCCTCACTCAGCTGCTGTTGGAGCAGGGCAGGGCTAATTTGAGCCCAAGCCTCAGGGCTCACTCCAGCCTCCTCAGACAGCCCGTATACAGCCATCACATCTCTGGCACTCAGGCATAACTGGGGAGAGGGCAGGACAGGGATCAGGTACCCGAGAAGACTTCAGAGGACCCCATCTTCCTCCAGGACTGCATGGGTGGCTCACCGTGTCCCACACACTTGAGCTGCTGTTGAGGGCATCAAGGGGCACAGAGTCCTGGTAACTGGCCTCTCTGTCCAGATGACTGTGGTCATCATGGTCACCGTGGTCATCATGGTCGCCATGGGCCTCTCCCCCCACCCCTAGGCGCTGCATTAAAGCTTCCAGCTCTAGGAGGAAGGACAGCGTCACCGCACAGTCTGTAGGCTCCAGCCTGCCCCTCGCCCCAAAGGATCTGGAGGCTGTGGGGTCTCACCGGCCAGGGTTATATTGGGGGCCTCACTGCTGTGCTGCCGAAACACAAAGTCCACGAAGTACTGAGGACTTGGCAGGGCATGGAAGCATGCCCCGCTCTTGACATGGTCCAGAAGGGCTGCCAGGACTGGGCCAGGTCTGCTGGGAGCCCCTGCTCTCACCACCTCCTGCAGCAGCTGAGGCACTTCTACACAGGTCTGGGGAGGCGCAGAACTTCAGTCCCACCGTGTGTGAACTCCTGGCTTCCAGCTCTGTCATTGCTCCAACCCTAGTACACAGCCACCTGCCCCTGGACTCCTGCTCACAACCCCAAACTCTGCACCTCCCAGCCTGGTGCCTCCCCTCCCTTGCCAGTTTTTCTTTTTTTTTCTTTCTTTCTTTCTTTCTTTCTTTCTTTCTTTCTTTCTTTCTTTCTTTCTTTCTTTCTTTTCTTTCTTTTCCCTGTATTTAGTACAGGGACTACAGGGTCTTACTACATAGATCAGACTCCTAGTGATTCTCCTGTTTTCAGCCTCCTAAGTGCTAGGACTACAGGCGCAGGCCACCACACCCAGTATCAATTGCCGTCTCAGCACGCCCCATGGGTGGGGCTGGCACTTTACTCTGCTGAACTATCAAGCTGCCCCCTTAATGTTTTTATAGTCCCTGCCCTACTCTTTGGTAAACACCCACCTGTGATCCTCTATCCCACTCCAGCCTCCCAAATGTGTTCTCAGATGACCTAAAGACTGTGTGGTGGGTTGTTTCCCTCTTGTAGCCAAGCCTACCCTCCTCGGGCCTCTCTAGGACCCTTGGGCCCTCCCCACTGCCCCAGCTAGCTGGCCTGGGCCCTTACCTCTTCCCCAGTGTGCTGCCTGACAGTCTGGGCCTCAATCCTCTGGAGCAGCTGGTTCAGGCCTGGGGTCATGGCCTCAGGACTTTCAAGCTGGGCTAGGAAGTGGTCAGCACGAGAGGCCCAGCGGCCAGCCTGGATGTCCGCACATGTGCCCTCTGGGTTGCTGAGGTACAGGGCCAGGGCGGCACAGAGGCGCACAATGAATCTGGACTGCAGGACCGTTGCTGGGGTGACCTCTGGCTTGTCCAGCCTGCCCAGAGCCAAGGCATCCTCCACAGACACGCACTACGTTCAGAGACAAGTAAGCAGGAGGTAGGCTGAACCCACCAGAGGAGAAAGGCAGGCCAGATAAGTCCTATCACCTGCTTCACACCTTTCCCCCCTCTTGCCCCTTGCTTGCTCATCCAGCCCAACTAGGGGTGCACACAGCAAGTCCCCAGCAGTTACTCTCCGGTATTGGTGTGATTTCTCTCTAGAGCCACTGTCAACTTGTGAGCCCAGGGAAGAAGAGAAGCTGTGTGCTGGGGAGGACAGAATGCACCCCCATAGGAGAGGGGAGGCTCTGGCCTGTGGGTAGGCTCAGCCTCTGACCTTGGCCCGCCTCCTGGAATTCGTCCAGGTCCCTTTGCCGCTGGCTGCAGGGTGGAGCGGGCAGGAAGAGGCTAGGGCTGGGGGATCCATCGGGTGGGGCTGTTACCTTTCCACACGGCACGTTGGTGCAGTGCACACGGTCCGCAAGCGTATTTAACAGGCTGCTCAGGTCCTCCGGATCCAGAGTGTCCTGGCCTGAGGTGAGCAAGCTCAGCAGTTGGGTGGGCTGGGCCACTGTCACGGGCACCACCAGCATAGCCAGCAGCAGCCGCGCAAGGATTGCCATGCTAGGGGTCCGGAGTACTCTGCGCTGTGTGGAGGTCATCTGGGTTGGCTGTGGGTTGCCCTGTTTGGACCAGGGCTGGGTTTGATCTGCCTGCTCCAGGCTCCAAGACCTCTCCCAGATATTTCCTGCAAGTCTCTGTGATTGGCTGCTAGAAGTACCCTGGTTAACCATTCCGGTGGCAGGTCCTCCCCAACAGCAAGGAGCTAGGCCACTGCCTGCCGGGGGTGAGGGCTGGGTCCCTTCCCTTGGGTGGGCAGCTTGGGCATCCCTTCCTTTCCCCTATGCTCCATGCCCAGAGCTGCATGCAGGGCCACCCTACTCTCTGTCCCCCAAAGGCCCCCGGCATTTCCTGCTGTGATCCTCTCTGGGCTGTTTACAAGCCAGGAATCTGAGCTACAGATGCAGTTTAGATGCTATCAGGTGATGCCTGGGTCCTATCCCAGATGTTTGTCCTGAGTGCGCCCATGCCCACCCTATATCCCATCCAAGCTGTCCCCCAGCCTGGACAGCAGATAACATCCCCCCAGAGTCTTGTGGCTGGACCTGGTCCTGGAATGGGGGCTCTTGACAGGCTCTGGGCTGGTTGGTCGTTTAGGCTGGGCTGTCCGCAGAAGCTGCTTGCTGAGTCATGCTCCCCACCTGCAAGCCCTCCAGGGAAATTCTCCAGGAAGTGACCAAAGCCCCAGGAGACAAACAGGAAAGGAAGATGGGACCTTCACGGTAGGTAGCCCGGTGGTTTAGCCACCACCTGGAGGGCCTCTTGGGTCAGAAGGAAGTTAGAACAGTAATCTGAGCTGTGGCCCCAGTGAGGGCTCAGAAGGGCTGTGGTTTCCAGTCTTGCTCCTCCCTGCTAGTTGCCATCCAGCCTTTGACCCCTGGGCCTTATCTCTCCGAAGAGACAATGGGGGGAGGGACTCATTGCTGCCCCTTTGTGTTTCTTGGTGGGGGGTTTTGCTGCTACCTCTTTGAGTTCAACCACCTCTGACCCAGTAAGGTGTGGCTGGGGCGGGATTCTGGAAGCCTAATACCTGAGGACTCTGTCCCCTACTGTCCTGCTGGTCAGGACAGGGCAGGGTGGGGCAATCATTAGGCTGAGTGTTCCGAGCCTAGGGGTCAGGTCCTTCTCTTGCCTACCCCACTGGGGTACACACTTGTATCTCAGACACATTACATTACAAGATGCCCCTTCTGGCTTCGATACCTGTAATATGGTCTTGTCTGGGGAGGGGATGGAGAGATACCACCTGAGATAATGGAGATGACAGAGGACACCCACACAAAGCTATGAAGTTGCCATGGGCCAAAACTGGCCTTCCAGCTGGGCATGGTGGTGCATGCCTGTAATCCCCGCACTCAGGAGGCTGAGGTAGGATTGCCCTGAGTTCAAGGCCAGCCTGAACTGCATAGTGAAACTCTGTCAATAAAACAAGTCAAAACTGGCCTTCCTCTTGAACTGCTCTGGGACCACTGAGCCTGCTGGAAACTGGACTAAGCCAGCTGCTTCTGGCTTACCCACTGTTCAAACATGTTTTTGGGCTGTACTTGGCAGACCAGCCCTTCCTTTATTTTTGTGCCAAAAGATAGAACTGCTTGAGTCTTTGATGGGCCATACTCAGGCAGCCCTCCCAGAAGAGCTTTCCGTGTTGGCCCATAGCCTCTCCTGCTCCTGATGACTCACACGGTCCCACCTCTGCCAGCCCTCTATTTTTTTAGCTCAAGTGTCCCCAGCTTCCCACACATCTGCCACCCACCAGCCAGGGACTGGTTTCCTCTGGACACAGCTGGTCCCCTGAGTACGTTCTGTCTCCTACAACTCTGAGCTGATCCTGTATTGTCCCATCAACCAGGAAACTCACTGTATTGTCCCAGTTATAAATCTAGACCATAAACTTACATTCATACTGGCATTATTTACAACAGTCGAGAGTGGGAACAACCTGTATGTACAAAATGTGGCAGGTCTACACAAAGGAGTATTATTCAGCCTTAAAAGGGAGGAAATCCTGACCCATGCTACAATCCAGATGAACCTGAAGACATGCTGAGTGAAATAAGACAATCACAAAATGACAGTGCTATAGCCTGGGAACAGGGAAGGTCTCGAGCTGGACGGTGAGGTGAACAGGATAGTGCTTGGAGAATGGCATTGCATGCTCAGAATGGTTACAGTGGTGATAGATTAGATAGATGATAGATAGATAGATAGATAGACAGACAGACAGACAGACAGACAGACAGACAGACAGACAGTTCCTACAGGGTTTTGCTACACAGACTCGCGGTGATTCCCTGTCTCAACCTCCTCAGTGCTAGAGTTTGGGGGCCAGTATGTGGTACCAGGGATCGAACTTGAGTCCTTCCACTTTCCAGGCAGGCACTTAGACTGCTGAGCTATCTCTCCAGCCCATATTTTATTAAAACAAGATTTAAAAATAAAAGCAATACTCCCCAGCCATCAGCCCCTAAACTCTGACTACTGCATGCCTTACTTCAGTGGCTTTAAATGGGTTATATCAAGAAGCAGATTCAGGGGGTGGGGGGGGGCAGCTGAGGAGATGGCTCAGTGGAATAAGCGCTTCCCTGGCAAGCACAAGGGTCTGAGTTCAATCCCGAGTACCGTTAAAAAAAAAAAAAAAAA